TAGACGGAAGGGGTCCCAAATATGTCGACGTGGCATCGACTATTCAATTGAATTGGACTTATTGAATTATGCAATCTCATATTAGGCTTGGGCTCGATCCATTAACTTACTTAGCCCATTTGCATTTTCTTATGTGGAAATTACACAAAACCCTAACATTAAAATCCAGAGTTCAGAAATCAAAGAGGAAGTTTAACATTTCAGAAATCAGAAAATTTATTTTAATTAATATTTTATTAATAACCCACCCCCACCGATTTTCATGCCAAACCTAAGCCCTTTCCTCTTTATTCTCTCTCTCTCTACCCTAAATTCCAAATCAGGGGCCAATTTGATATGGAAACAAATTGGTTGCTTGATGCGAAGGAGTTTGTTTGGTGGTTGAAAATAGTGGTGGTGTGAAGGGCGACGATGGTGGAAGTGGTGACGACGGCAGGGAGGTGATGGCGGTTGGGCGATGTTGACGGTTTGATTTGTTGGTAGATCTCGTGATTTTGTTCTGGTTTGTTGGTAATATATCGTTTTCAGACCAGATAAAGCACACCGCCTTCACCCTCTCTTTCACATTCTTTCCTCCGAGCTTCGCTTGCAGCGGTGGTTTTGAGTTGTTGGTAGATCTTGTGTATTTTTTTTTTCTTTTTTGCTAATGGTTGTTTGACGATGGCTCTAGCGATGGGTGGTGTTTCGACGGTGAGGTGCAGTGGTTGATCTAGTGGTGGTTGATGGCAATTTTGGTACGATCGTGGCTTGTGGTGGGTTGCGGTTCGATGAACAGGGAGGAGGCGGGGTGGTGTGATGTTGGTGGTGGTCGGGGCGATAGTTGTGGTCGCAAATGGTGGTGTCGATCTGCGGTGACGATGGTGGTCTTGTGGTTTGTTTTTCATTGTTTTTGATGATTTGTCATGTGGTGGTGGTTTGTGTTACAACGATGAGGGGTGGCTGGTAGTGTTGGTGGTCACAGATTATTTGGTCGATTGTAACCATTAAATTAATTAATTTGTGACTAATAAATAATATGTGATTGATGAAAAAAATAAATTGTGACTAATGTGACCTAAAAATATATTAATTTTCGATCGTTTAATAAACTGTGACCTATAATATTTGTATGTGATCGATACATAAATTGTGACATATTAATTTTTGATCTGTGACTATGAAACAAATTGTGACCATAAAATAATTTGTGGCATATACAAATTATGATTTGTGATTAAAAATAATTTAGGACTAATTAAATTGTAAATTTGTGACCAAATTGTATGGATATGTGACCATAATATATTTAATTAATAAAATATATAATTAATTAATTAAATTATAAATAAATTTTATTAATAATTTATTAAATAAATTAAATCATAAATTTTGGAGAGTTTGTTCACATATGGAAACTGCATGTTTGTTGGGAATATGCAATGAAATCCTGTCTCTCTCTCTTTGAGTATTGAAATTACAAACCTCCCATCTTAAAATTGAAATACAGCATACTTAATATCTGGATTATGAAATTTTCCCTTTTCTTATATAACGTGAGTCCATTCACAACCAAGGTGTGTTTTCATTATAATCCTAGCCAAATCCCTTTTCCTGTCTTTTGCACTCATTTACATCTTGTCTGACCGTTGATTTGATAATCGAAATGCAAGCGGTTGTCGGACCTTTTTCTCGATAGACAACCTCTTCCTTGTAATGGGGTGTTCTAATATGTAAGTGATGCTTACGTGGAGGAAAGGTGGCCGAAATTTTGTTAGCACATTTTTTGAGTTCAACACACTACATATTTCCTTTATTCTATGCAGAGCCTACCTCGATCATTTGATAATGGTCATCTAACAAGGCATCTCAATCTTCCTACGAGTATTTTCATTACTTGGGGTAGAATTGCACAACATATTTCCTCAATTCTACGCAGGGCTGACCTCCCAAATTTTGGAGGCTTTAGACCAATTTCAAATATGGCCCCTATATATGTAAAAATACATAACATAACAAAAAAAAGTAATTTTTTTATTGAATAAAATTATTCAAAGTTACAATTATAATAATCTTAAACTTTCAAATGTCTATTTTAAGTTTATTTTTCCTTTGCATCTCATCCAAAGAGGGTACTCCCGCTCAAAAGCAGCCAAGTTCTGTCAGTGTTAAAAAACTGCAAAAGATGTTTAAGAAGGCAACTGATGAGAATATTCGTAGTATTAAAGCTTATGTCACTGAGCTGAAAGAACGTGTGGCGAAGCTACAATACCAAAAACAGCTTCTTGTTTGCCAGGTGAGCATGCCTTTTTATTGTTCGCTTTCTTTTTTTGGCATTTAAATTTCACAAAACAGGTCTAAACGATTGGTCTAGATTCATGCTAAAATTTAGTTGCATAGTGCAAGATATGTTAACACCATTTTATTTTGACTTGAAGCTAAGGTTCACAGTTCTTTTCGCTTCCATACAATGTGTTGCATTTATTCACCATCTCTGGGTAGTATGGTTAAATAAACTTTTGGGGCACGTTTGATACACTTTATTAGATAGGACTAGACAGTCATTTGATAAGGCTTTAGTTTCTTTTCTTTCTTTTTCCATTTTTTTTGGTTAGTGAGTCTTTTTATTAGAGTAGGGGACATGATGAGAGAGCAGAGCATATCGCCACCATAGTCACAAGTTTCTTTATATTCGCGACTCTTGTCATAGTTAAAAACGTTGGATCTTACAGGAAAAACTTCGAATTGGGAGGGCGATCCTCCCGTGAACTGACCTGGATCACTTTCCCATCATTGCTCACTAGGGAAGTAGAGATGTCTTCTTCGTGGTTGGCCTGCAACCTGCTTCTTCTTCAATATTCTTATTTCATTTTTCCTAGAAAGCCATTTGATCTGGACTGTACAGTCAGCACCAATTGGAGAACCTTTTATAGATGATTGTCATATGGGCCTTTTAAGTGGGATTAAGTCAAATAAGTTCAATTGAATATTGTGATATTCACTCTGGTTATCGTATATCTGTTACGTTTTCTTATATGCTAATTGGCCTCAGGTGTTGGAGATGGAGGCAAATGAAGCTTCAAGTGATGAGGTCGAGATGATTGATCAGTCTCCCATGTCATGGAGCTTGGTATTTGAGGATCAGAGGAAGGAGATTATTATGTTGTGGCATTTGTGCCATGTCTCGATTGTTCACCGCACTCAATTTTATTTGCTATTTAAAGGAGACCCTTCGGATCAGATATATGTGGAAGTCGAACTTAGAAGGTTAAAATGGTTGGAGCAGCATTTAGATGACCTTGGTAATGCCAGCCCCGCTCTCTTAGGTGATGATCCAGCGAGCTCAGTATCCTCGAGGTACTTTCAAATGTTTAACAATCTTCGAGTGCACTTATACAAATCATGTTGTAACTAATACATGCTTATGAATGTGCAGCATCAAGGCGCTTAAACAGGAGAGGGAATATCTAGCAAAGAGGGTGAGCTCGAAATTATCTGCAGAAGAGAGGGAGTTGCTTTATTTGAAATGGAATATTCCACCCGAAGGAAAACAAAAGAGGCGGCTGCAACTTGTAAATAGACTGTGGACAGATCCTCTGAATATGCATCATGTGCAAGAAAGCGCGGAAGTTGTTGCGAAGCTCGTTGGATTCTGTGAGTCGGGGGAGCCCGTTTCTCGGGAAATGTTTGAGCTCAACTTTGTTCCCCATTGTGATAAGAAGACATGGATGGGTTGGAATTTGATATCTAATCTTTTACATTTGTAAGAAACATTCTGTTTGTGTAATTCTACAATTTCTACTAGTCTTGAATAGCTTATGTTCAATCATTTTGGCTATTTGATCATGTGAGAATCATAGGGGTTGAGTTGGGATGATGTAGTCCAGTGTGACTCAAGTTGACCTCGTTCTTCTAACTCACTTTCAACGAGTTGATGTGACACAATCGAATATAGTCAACTCGACACTGTTCTTCCAATTCAATCTTGGTTCAGTGGTGTTTTGTTTTTGTTTATTTTTAATTTTTAATTTTGATTATTTATTTATTTGTTTGTTGTGTTAATTAAACATTTATAAGCTTTTAACCAAAAAAAATAAAAATCGATTTATTAATTAAAAAATAAGGCTAAATTTGTTAATCGAGGACCTGGATATTACAAAAGTGGAAGTATGGAAATGAAGTTATTAAAATATTAGCTTGAGGACATACTTGCTCACGTTCATAGGTTGGGTACTCCAGTTGTAATTTTTTAGTTAATTGTTCCAATGGTCATTGAACTTTTGTCAATGTCTTTTATTGGTCACTAAAGTTTAAAATGTCGAGTTTTGGTTACTGAACTTAGGTCAATATCTTCAATTGCTCACTGAACTTAGATCCATATTTTAGATTGCTCATTAAAATTTAAAATGTCGAGTTTTGATCACTGATCTTTGGAATATGTCATACGTTACTCACTAGTATAGCTGTTGAACTTTGAAAAATATTGAGTTTACAGTGAGTAATATACAGCATTTATCAAAGTTCGGTGAGTAATGTACAATATTTTTCAAAATTCAGTCCTCAAAACTCGACATTTTAAATTTCAGTGAGCAATCGAAAACATAAACATAAGTTCAGTGATCAAAACTTGACATTTTAAATTTCAGTGACTAATAAAAAACATGGACCTAAGTTCGGTGACCATTAGAAAAATTAACTCATAATTTTTCCAAAACAAATAGGTCCGTTTGATTGCAGCAATGAAGTTTGGATGGAAAGACAACGAATTTCAGAAATTGAGTTGCCTAAAACTTGTTTTTCTGAGAATTGTTAATTAAATGTGTTCAATTGATGTGATTTTTCACTTGAAAAATGTTAAAATTTTGAATCTTTTAATGTTTGTTTGGGCTTTTTCATAAAAATTGTCAATTAAAAGGATATAATTTTTTACAATTATAAATAAAATTTGTTCCCATTGCTGAAAAAAAAAATAAAATAAAAAATAAAGCTGGAAAATGAGAATTGGTTTGCCACCAATTCATTGAAAATGCACGTGTGAGGGAAAAGGTGGAAATGGAATTCCCTACAAAAAATTGTTGGAATCAAACAAGTCATTTTGGTGGAAAATGTAGCCTTACGGGGGTGTCCCCATTTCAGAGTTTAATAGATTTCTTAATATTTATAAATTTTCATGGATTGTGTGAAATTTGATAAAATTTAATAGATTTCATAAGATTTGAATGGATTTCTATTTTGTAGATTTTAAAAGATTTTCATGAATTTTATAGATTCTGTGTAAAATTTATAAATATGCTTAACATAAGTCACAAATTTTTACTTCTTCTTTAACGACTCATTCTTACGCATATGCACGTTAATAAATCACAGAAAATGATCGAATCCTTGTTCAATTGTTTGTTAAACATTGAATATTATAACAGAGTTTCAATAAAAAAATACACCAAATATTCAACAAAATGCGAGAGTGGGAGATGACAAAAATATGTAGTGTTAAATGATCAAAGTCGTAATCAATATGAATTAGTTCAAAAGGCCAAAATCTTGTGAGATACAAACACACAGATGTACATGTACATGACCACAAGACAATTAATTCCATATCCCCAGAATTCTCATTGACTATGTAGACACAAAAGAAAAAATTGTAGGATACCATTCTCACATGTCTTGGCTAGAATTTGCAGGTATATAAAGAAAACACACAGCTCTTCCCAAGAAAAAGGAATAGGATACAGAACTTGAAAGACGAAGTTGTTCCAGTATGCATACTAGAAATCCTAAATTATCATGATAATTTCCAGCACATCTATAAAATAGTAAACAATATATAACTTCAATAAGAAAAAATAAGTTCAATAAAAAATCAAACCCAATATTCAACAAAAAATAGTAATCTTTCATAAATTATCATCAATTGAAAAGTTCTCATACACGATCTTTTCACAGTAGAGAAATGTGAGATAGAAAGAAGAA